AGCCATTGCTGAGGCCCATGGTATTTGTAGCTTTATATAATATTAAAAAAGGTGTTGCATGACATATCAAAATGTCAGGTATAAATATATTTTCATAACCATTTTATGTAGTTTTGACAAACTTGTCTGACAGCTAATTATACAAGATACTGTACTCCACAAAAGTCAGCTGCTAATGGCAAACCAGGTAGCTGTTAGAGGCTAGCTGTTGATTTTCTTTTGTATGTTAAAAATTGCTGAAAATATGTGAAAAATTGCTGTTTCATCCTATACAAAGAAAGGGTCTCCCTTTCACATATTCAATATTTAGAACAAAATAATGTAAGTCTTCTTTATTTTAAAATTTCTAAGTAGTAATTTTGTGTTAAAGGCTAAACACTTTTCTCATTTAAGAAGTAAGTGATCAAAAGCTGCATCTGCTATCATGCAATAATATGTAATAAGGATTCCAGTGCATGTTTGGGATAATGGATATATGTTACTGTGCATATTGTAACTAATGTACACTAGAATCTAGTGCCACAAAAAGGAAAATATGGAAAAGTTGCTTAAATTTTAATCTTCCCCTTGACCGAGCAAATCCATAGTATGTCATACTTAAAGATTTTTCAGGCAGGAATAAACTTCCCAAAAGACCAGGAGTGGTAACTTCCATAATGAAGTGGGCAGAATACAAAAATAAGACCAAAAGATTTTGATGAGCAAAAGATAAATAGCATTCTTTCTCATTAGTCAGACTATATGCAGTGTGGGATGTCACGCACACAACTCTGCACATGCCCTTTGCTGACTGCCATGTCTATGCATGCACAAACATAAAAACATTTGCTTCAGTGCGAATTTTGCAAGAGGCTCTCTGCCTCCAGTTGGAGGCTGGCTTTCGTGAACCTATTTTATTTCGGTGGGACCATTCGTACTGAAACGAGTGGGAACATTCATACCAACATGCTCTGTTCTCCATGTACTGCAACAGTAACAACTGAGGATGATAACATCTTAATTTGTTCTGACGCAGTCTTAGGCACTTATTTGACTATGTTCTTAGACAAGCCATTGAACGGAGAAGTCTGCATACACACTACGTGCTTGTCCTTATATCCTAAATGGTAGTCTGTCTTCTGTTTGAGCAAGGAAATGTACTCTGCCCTGGACTTGGGAGATACTGGCTCCTGTGCAGCTCCCTTCTGGGAAATTGCGTTTATTAAGATGCTCTTGAGAATGAAAATAAAATACAAACTATGTTAGGTGCGTGGTAGCTAGTAAAGGAAGCCACCTGGTCCATTTGGCTTATCCTTTTGGAACTGTTCCCATTCAGATACACTTGATAGTGTAAGCCAGAGTAAATCCCATTTTGTAGGAGAGCAATGCAGCCAAATCCCAAAGGGGAAATATGGAGAGAAACATGATTAAAAGCAGAGAGGCAGTTGGATAGGTGAGTTGCAGACAGACTCGCTGAAAAATCACATAAGCCATCTACCTGATCCAGCATGGCTTCTTCACTCTTTTGTGCTGATACCCAGAGGTTGTCTCCCCCACTAACGCTTAAGAGCCCCAGCAGAAGAGGGACTAAACCAGGAGTCATGCCAGAGGTTGAAAAGCTCTCTGAGTGCTTTTTCTCACCAGAGGCCTCAGGGCAGCCCTGGCTATAGGAGGCTGATGCTGTGTGTTTGTGTACTGGTGTCTCAGCCCACTGTAGTACAAACTTGCTGGCCTTCTCACACCTCGAGGCCTATTGCATAGGTGTAGGATGGAAGACCAGTCGCAGAAGTTAGTTCCAGGCACTCAGTGTAGAAATTACATTACTCTGTATCCATTTCAGAGAAAACAAGTGTCTCCCTTTTCAACTAATTGTTGAAAATTTTATAAGTTTTTTTGTTTTTTTGTAGATACTTACTCTAAATTCCAAATGGCACAATGGAACTTTGGAGGTTAGGTGTTTATCATGTGACAGTACCAAGGCAAATGCAAAATATGGTGGCAGGAGTTTACAAATGATCTACAAACATAAATATCGAGCATAATGCATGCTCCTGATTGCCCATGCTGCAAATATAACTTAGTTGCATTATCAGTCCAAGTTTGTTTTATAGAAATCACACAAGAGGTTATGTATAACATTTTCTAAGCTTGATGGAACCATATAAAGTTAATATCATATAGTTAAATACAGTAATCAAAGGCTCAAGGTAACCAAAACCACATACAATTTGCATTTGGTAATGGACTGCAAAATGTGGGTTTTCTGCTGCCCCAGTTCTTGTTTCAGAATGTAATAAGAGAAGCTGTGCTATGCCTTGGGGAAGAATTCAAGGCCTGATACTGAAAGAAATAGTGCTTCCCTGGGAGAATAGGTCTAAGAGTAAAACAGCCCAAGCAGCAGCAGCCCCAGTGTTCCTCACACAGGTGATAATGGCAGCTGTTCTGTACACCATCGGACCCACCTGTATAGCTCGGCACTTCCAGGTTCCTGCAGGTTAGTGTTGCCCACTGACTCCTGAAAGAGCCTGAAACCAGGTGCTTTGACAAACAGGGAGAGGGAGGCTATGTCAGTATTACCAAGTAGTGCAGTGCAGGAGAAGCAGATCTGTGAAGCAGCTGGGTCAGAGTAACTTTCTCAAGGCCTGGTATCTCAAATCTATTCAACTTGGCAGGCAAAGCCCTTCGCATCCCCAGCTGAAGGCTTGGTTTTTGACTTATGAGTGAGTAATTTTATGATTTTTACATTTCATTTTCAAAGCTTACAGTTAGGAAAATAATATTGCAAGACTTGACGGAACCGTCCAAAGATGGTAACTTTAGTTTTTAGTAGTGTGTGTTCCACGATGATGTTCTCCAGAGAAATAGAAATAGGTGATTTGTGGGACAGGATTACACCCAGCTTCCAGAGGTGCTAGGTTGGTCACAGATTTAGATACCGTCAGTTAACTTCTAGAGAGAGAATGTATTGACCCATTTCATTGTTACTCTTACAGTTATTCACCGATAGGAACTATTACAAAATTTGTGATGCTGAGAAGCCACAAATGAGGCCATGGGAAATAAATGGGTTCACCTCTGCCCTGCTCCTGGTGCAGGTGCTATCCACAAGCCCATCCCAGCGGCATGAAGTGGCTTTCAGAGGAGGTGGGAATCAACTGTGCTGTAGGTCCTGAACTCTTGCCTCACTTTGACTTTGTAACAGGATTAAGACATGGCAACAGGATGGCGTAAGAAAACTGTCACTCTTGCATTCATGGTGTCTGTTTTTCAAGGATTTCTGCCTCCAGACTTATAAGGGGGCACCTTTCATTAGTTCCAATTTAAGTTAAGGTTTTAATATATATCTATTCTTAAAGATAAACTACTTAATAGCTGACAGAGCCTAAAAGCAATAGCAATAAATAACAGCAGCAAAGTCTGCTTCTTCACAATTAACTTTGTACTGCAGCTAACTTACAAAGTCTAAATATAAGTCAAGATACCCAAGCAGTGGGAAAACTGCGGTTTAATCTATGTACGGCTCTTTTCAGCTTTAGCCAAGAGAAATTCAGTCAGATTATGAACCACAATTTTGTAGCTTCATTTTCCACTATGTTCATACAGTGAATATACAAGACAATGGACTCTGGGTTTGCATTTCCTTCTAGTCTTCTGCAGCAGAGCATTAAATAATAGCATTTGCTGGTCTAGTCTGCACTTTAATACGTTTTCTTCACTTGCTTAATTGTATTAATGGAAAGAGGAGGATGATCTTGTGGCTAGGGCAGAGGACTGGAAGTCAGGTGATCTGGGTTATATTCAGAATTCTGCCACAGGCTTCCTGTGCAGCCTGCTCTAATCAGGTTTGCTAATATATAAAATGAAGGTAATAACATTTCCCCTTCTTACCAGGGTGTTGTGACACTTAATTCATTAATGTTTGTAAAGTGCTTTGTGCTCCTTGCTTCTAAATGTGCTCCTTACTGTAATGTCTTATGGATGGTATTAAAGTTGAGAATAATGTTACTTTACTGCCTGTGCTAAAAGTTGGCTGAAGTGTAATAAAGGCCATTATTTTCATGTATTTTATGAGCTACTGGAATCTTTTAGGTGGCTTACTTGAAATTTAGCTAATATAGTTACATTTAAAAATATACTATGTCAATACTATGCCTGATTTTTATTTTTTGTGTTCTTTCACTATGATGAAATATTTCGCAATAAGCAAGACTTGTACCGACTAAGGGGCGGAAGAAAGAGTTTGGCGTAAATACTCTAGCTGTTAGACTTCCAGCTCTGTTACAGAGCCAGCTCTCTACCCTGGTGAATCACCAAACAGTTCTGTGTCCCAGTGCAAAATGCACTGAAAACTTGAGCAAGAAATGAGGTCAAAAATATTTTTGGATAGGAAAATGAGGAGTTGAAGTATTTACCTAAATTGCAACAATGCTGCAGGACTCAGCAAGTATATAATTTATGTAGTCCAGTTAAAACAAAAAATACTTAACTTTTAAAATCTCTGAAGATTTGGCAGTGCAACTCCCAATAAATTCACTAATATCCACATGGTTAAATCTCTATGTACCCCAGGAAAATAATTCAGCTAAAGTTTACTCTTTCTTAAATGTGAAATACAATATATTGTTTAGAGCAAATAGAAATTGTGCATAGAATGGAAAGAATAAAATGCTGAATTCTTAAAATTAAAAGCAAGAATATTATTAATGTTCACTATGCACATGTGAATTTTTTTCAGAATGTGGTAATTCACTAAAATTCTGCTCGTCTATAAAATCAAATGTTTATTAGACAATCGTAATATGTAAACCTATTTGTTTTTAATAGCCAATGATAATTACATCAGGTGAAAAAAAAAAAATTACAGACTTACCATAAATAGGAGCAATTCATTCAAGGCTGTGCAATGTCTGTCAGAGAGAAACCACGCTGCTGGTACAGCATAAGAAAAAGCATACATGTCCCCTTACAAGCACTGTCCAACATTAAATTAGTAGGAAGGAAGGAAAGCAGCTGACACTTACTATCAATATAAAAGTTCCCAGGAATTCTGAGAGGGCTTCTTTAACCAAGCTGTTCTTCAAGGCAAATTTCTCCTTTAAACTCCTTTTGTTTTTCTGGCTCATTTTTGCTTCCTCAGTTGCTCTGGAGCCCTAGTTACAAATACAGACAAAATTTGCTCCGTAATCGTCCCAGCTTCAGCTGAACTTTGACACTTTTACTTATACATTGAAATATGAGATTTCATCCTGTACAGCCAGTGAAATCATCTGACTGCAGGCATTGACAGAACCAACTCAACGTGCCCTAACAATTCATCATGAGTTTTCCGTCCTGTGCCTTCTCTGAGTATGCTTCTATTTATACCGGCTAGATAACACCAGTAAGTTCACAATCAGAACTTTTCTTTTTTCCTGCAGAATGGATTAATCATTACCTTTCCTGTTACGATACTTTTTTTTTTTTTCTGGTAAAAATTGATAAGATGTTATTCCTGTCACCCTGATCAAAAAAGACAAAAAGAGATACTACAAAATAAGGAACAAAAATATGGAACAAAATTTTGCTCTGACCTAGATTGAGATTTAAGCCATGCTACTATTGGCTACTATTGAAAACTTTTCAGGGGGAAGTTGTAAAAGAGAGTGAATGCTTGTGAAGACACTATGCTCTAGCCCTGTAAACAAAAGCTCCTATTTTGTCAGTTCTGAGGGATTTCAGTAGCTAATGAGGAATCTTACTTTGGAAGTGTGTTGAATTTGTATATTCGCACACAATACTCTTTTTGGACTAAATGCCTTGCTCTCTAGTGGCCCGCCTTGTTTACAAAAGAGCAGCGAGGCAGAATAAATTAGGAACATTTAATGAAATCTGCTTCGGTCCAGTGGCTGTCTATAGTGCAGTATAGGCAAGTGAGGCATTGAGAGTGTCTTCAATATGTTTCGCTTAAAAGTGCATAGGTGCTACAAGATGAAGCATTATAATATTATTTTCCACAGTCCACAGAGTAAAAACTGATGATGCTGAATATCTCCAAGAACTGGGCCTCCTGGGGAAAAATATTACACTCTAAATCTCTTAAGTATCTTGAATGTTTTTATCAGGTATGATAGTGACTTGACTAACACATTGTCTGGTTCATTTACAAATATTTTCTTTATCTGGCTTGACAGTAAAACCTTGGCCCAGTTCTGGTAGGTTATTTTGTCATGTTTTGTAGATGCTCAGTGACTTGGTTTGTATCTGTCCTAAACCTTTTTTACCTCGGTGGTAAATACGTTTAGTAAGTGTAAGTGATGTTGCCTGCTTTGAATAAGAGAGAGCCTTACAGAGTCAGGCATGTGGGCCACTTCCCTGCTGTCCCACCAGTGCTCATACTTCCCTTAAGCTAGGGCTTGATGCATGCTCCCTGCAGCTGTAGCCATCTTACAGCCACCAATTTCATCCCTTAACCACCTAGTTTCCCCAAAGCATCCAATTTCATCCCTTAACCACTTTTCTGTGTCCTTTTACCCACCTGTCTCTACCTCTACATTCAAATGCGACTCGGCCGCCAGCCTGCAGGGAGCTGCACAGGTGATGGGTTATGTGCTAACTGCATCTGTAGCAGCGCTGCACGGAGCCAGGGGAGCAGCTGGGCACCAGCAGCTACGCAGAGTCTTTTGCAGGGATTTAAGCCACAGCACAGGTCAGCACTCGCACAGAAACAGCCAGCAACAGCCTCAGGGAAGCCCCTGGAAATAGCTTGTATATTGCAGTTTTAAAACCTTTACCCTACACACTGCAAAACAAAGATATTACTCAGGACCTTAATTATCACAGCATGTTAAGTGTATGTTTATTATGCCTATGAGAGAAGAAGCCTTTCAGAATTATGTGTACAGCAGAATTGAAGGAGAATCCCGAGGAGGCCATTCATTACGGCAAGAAAGAGATAAACCACTTCCTCTTTTCCAGGAAAATGGGAAATAAATAAATACATTTATGAAAACAAGTTTTTAGTTCTTTCTCCATGGCAGCTCTTTGTCTTATGCAGGTGCAGGCCTTCCTCACAAAGTATTATGCAGATACTCTCAGTTTAGTCTCATAACAGGTGTGAAAGTGTTATCTGCATTTCTCAGTCAACAATAGTGCGATGCGATAACGTCAGTGACACAGTCAGAAACCCCTACTCGTTTGTCCAGACCATGTTGTCTTTCCTGTAATGATTTTCTGTTTTTACAGGATGGATAACTAGGTTCGTGATGCAAATATGTACATTCTACATTTGCTTTCTTCAGGTTGTCTTTAATACTTCATAGAACTGGCATAATTTAACTCTATTAGAACTGAAGAACTGTGATGCTAAGTTAGACTGAAGCTTCTTCGTGTGGCTCCACAACCAGATTCCAGCGGAGGCTGGTAGACTGGTAGTGGATGCTCCAAGAAAGAGCAAGAAAGAAAACACAGCACATAGGGAATGATTACTCCCTTGGTATATCCTTACTGATTTTGGCAACCAGCAGTTTCAAGCCAGTGCTACAATTTGGAATCATTTTCAAACAGAAGAGGAGCAACACGGAAAAACAGAACTCAGTATATCCTTTCATTGTATTCAGAAAGAGGTTTTAAAGAAATTTCCCAAATCTAACAAGTATGTGCATTGCATTACAAGAAAGTCAAGTGAAATGTAAAGATAAAAGAAATGCCATGAAAGTTTTGACCTTAGTTACTAACTCATATGATCCACGTTCCCTGTTACTGGCGTTTTGTCAATTACAATAGTTGGACCACCTGGTTGAGCAATGGAAAGAAAATGCGCTGTGATTACTGTTCTCTGCTGCTCTGGGCCCTGCTCCTGGCATCGTAATGGTAACAATACTGGCAGTGTCACCCATGTAATATCGACAGCTGTGGAGTCTGAGGGAAATTAAACAGAAGTGCATAGGAGACTGTTAAAAATGAAAAGACATCCTTCAAAAATGGAAGTCATATATAAGCAAGGAGCATAAAAGAGTATAAACGCTGTCAAATTAAATGTAGAACTACAACAGAGCTGACCAAGAAGGTTTTAAGGATCACCTTGCCAAGAATGCAGAAGTAATAATATAAACTTTTTCAAATTCCATCACGAGAGGAGTCTTGCGGGAGAGTAAGTAAAACTATAGAAGGTGAAAGTGTAGGAGAAGCATTCAAGTTGGGTGACTTCATAGCGGAAAAGCTAAAGCTTTCTTTGCATTTTTAAAGAGCCAAACTTTAGGTGGGTTGAGTGTGAGGAACCATCCTAAATGAATTCTCAGTAGGAGATACTTTAAGAGAAACTGGTAAATTAAACAGTAGCTGACTGCTGGAGCCATGCGATGTTTCCCCTAAGGTATTCTAACGTTCAGTTACTGAAGTGCCAGTGCCAGTGTGTCGGCGCTGAACCCAGTCCTAATGCCAGCAAAAAGGAATGTAGGCAACGTACCACTGGTCTCTCAAACAAGGCTCAAGGGTGACCATGGGAACTACAATGCTGTCAGAGTGACTTCTATAGCAGGAAAATTAGTTGCACTGTAGTAAAGAATAAAATCAATAGACACAGATAAAGCTGGTATTCTGTAGAAGCCTCAAAATGGTTTCTGTTAAGGGAGGTTGTGCCTCACAAATCTATTGACATTCTTTAAAGACGTCAACAAACATACTGATATTATTGTTCATGCTTGAATGTGTGATCAGTGTAACCTTAGAACTGAGATCACAAAACTGAGACCCTTGGGACCCTTACCCCAAGGCAGTCTGCACTGAACTATTGCTTCTCTTCACCTGGATTCAAGCAGAGCGTGAATTCATACAGTATGTATAACCTAAACAATTTTTATGAGTAATCTTCACTCCTACAGAAATAGCAAAATAGAGAATAATACACATAGCTCCCACAGTTTAATTCTCCTGGGTAACAGTATATGCTGTACTGAATTTTTAATAGTACATTATTCAGAGTATCACATAAATTGTTATTACTGATGTAATAAAACCTAAACCAACACAGCTGGAGAGACCAAGGCTATAAATATACCATATATTTTTTTGTATTGTAATAATATGGTCCAAATTATTTTCAAGTCTAAATCTGCTGATTTTAATTGAATTAGAGAAGGTCTGAATATGTACATTTGCTATAATTCATGTCCCTGTACAACTGCCTTTGCCTAATTTATATTTATATTTGCACAGAAAAAATGCTGCATGATCCTTGAAGGATATTCTCTGTTTTGTGGATTGATTGTACTGCTGGGCAACTCAAAAAACATCAGGGGAAGAAGATCTGAACGCACTGCAATTCAGAATTCTAAGGTATTTGAGTACCTGAAAAAAAAGCATTTCTTTAGTTCTTGTGCTTTCTGATCATCCCTCCATCTCTGCTGCAGTCCCTGGAGGATAAGTGCATGATATGTCTTACAGGGGCAGACATCTGCAATGTACAGCTCAGGTCTATCTGAGCCCACCTTGGGGGCAGGGTAGTGGACACAAGGTGACCTCTCAAGAATGTCTTTGTTCTTTCTTCTTTGTCTCAGTGTTCAGAGAAAACATTTCAGTTAAGATCATGCATATGAAATCAAAAAGACACCACATATGCGTGTCTCAAACTTTTTGCCAGTGTCTTTAAGGCCTAATTAAAAGCTCTCTGAAGCCCACTACTGCTGACACTGATTTCAGTGAAAATTAAATTGGTCTGTCTCTGGAGCAAGACCCAAAACTTTGCTTTGTTCTCGATTGGCTGGGTACACCATCAGAGCTCAGTTCATAACTGATACATACATCGTTATATAATTGATGATAGTAAAGTTTATAATTTGTTGTACTGACCTGTCAGTGTAGAAGATAGACTCTGTCGGTTCCCAAGTTGGCTTAATCTCTACGATAGCCACGCATCGCTGCGCTGGAAGGTGTGCTCTCCCCAGCGCGGTTTGGCACAGATAACATTCCTCCCTGAAGGGGCTCTGCGATGGGGCTCTCCATGCTAGCAAAAAGTGAAGGTGTTAGGGAAATGCTGTGCAGATCTTTGTGTGTGCCAGTGTTATCTGCTGCACTAGGCAGTGCTTCCTTTTAAATGTGTTGGATATAGTTCTAGTAAAAGCTTATTGAGTAGGTTACAGTATGGGCAGGTCTGACTTTTTGAACGCATCTGGACAAAGACTAAGAACTTTGCTTTTAGACAACAGATCAATTTAGTACAGACAAGCACTCTGTTGCAGCCAGTTCCCTGTCCTTTTTTCCTGCACTTTCTCGTTTTTGGAACAGTTAATGTCCATGAGCAGTAAATGCAAGGGAAGATGTTTGACAGCATGGTCTTTTTAAAAAAAAAAAAAAAAAATCTTATTTTTTTCAGAATTCTTTATTAAAAAGCC